ATATATATATATATATATAAGTTCCTGCTCTAGTGTAGTGGTATACAGGTTCCTGGAAAATATCTTTCTGCAAAATTATACACCAAAAGTAACAAGCATACTGGGAAACAGGACTAGAGGCAGCTACTGAAAGTCCTAGCACATTTTCTTAAGGCCTGTCAAATTCTAACAAACATTGGAATAAATAAATGTAAGAGTTCATTTTTTTTTTAAGTCTAGGTAAGGAAGGGATGAGTCTTTTAAGTTTTAGAACAAGAGGCCCATGCACAAAGAATGGGCAAAAAGATACAATAGGGATGTCCATCTGAGGGTGATGGCCAAACTGAACAAAAAGAAAAATGTAGGAGGAATGGTCGTCACATACAGGACAACTTCACTGTTGTTCAGCTTTATCAGTGTAGTTTGGCTTTAGCTGCTCTGTTATTTAATGATACAAAATATGGCACAAAACAATTTAACAATTTATAAGTTAATTTGTGTGGCAGAAACATGGAAAGAACAGATTGTATAAAAACTTACTGTTATCATAATTTTTCTAGATTTGTATTGAAAAATGGAAATTTAAACTGTCTCACAGAGAGCACTTTAGCAGAAAAAGGGGAGCACTTCTCTTAGTATGGAAAGAAAACAGTTAATTTAATAGGTCTGTTATATAGTAAGTGCTCAAAAAATGTGAACAGCAACTAGTAATGCTAATATGAGTACAATCAAGATTACTGTTGCTGCTACTTCTACTAGTAGACATGAAAACTAAAAGAGCTCTAAGGGATATACCTGTGGCATACCCAAAATCTGTTACCTTAGACTTCCTTGCAGACATATTTCTGATTTTTGCTCAAGAATTTGCCTCTCAGGGAAGCTGACCTTAACTCCATTTTGGGGGCAAATGTTGATTAAACTACACCAATATTAATATTACATTTTTTTTTTGCCAGTGACTGGTTTAGGGTGGAGATGACTCCTAGCCAATAAGACAAGAAAGATGTGTGTTGAGGGATCAGGGGTAGAGCTTTGGAAAAGCTTACTTTATATTTAAGAGAAGTTTCTCTCTTCTCTTCTACTCACCAGAAGAGTGGAAAAGATAATCTTTGCTAACAAAGATTTTTTAAGTCGAAAATAATTGTGGCAATTAGAAAGCATTTCTGCCAAAATAACATAGTTTATAATTACCAAAAATGGAAGTCTCCTCCATTTGTTCCTATAATGAACTAAGAGCAATTTGAGAATTTTATATATAATACTTACATTTTTCCTTTAAATTTTTTATTAATTTATATTAAAATTAATTAAGCTTAAAAATTCTGTTCTTCAGTTGCATTTGCTACATTTCAAGTGTTCAATGGCTAACTTTCTTAGTGGCTGCTAGACTAGAAAGAGCATATATAGAATATTTCCACTACTGAAGAAAGTTCTTTTGGACATCATTGGGCTACATTTATGTGTTTGAAAGCTTAAATTTGCATATACTAGACCTCATTTTAGAAAGTCCCTTCTTAAGCAACTTATGTTCAAGCAGCTTTACTAACTTGAAAGTAAAACTCTGTGTGTTGGAGGGATTGTCTCAAACTCTGAACTAGTAGTCGAGACTAGTTTTAAAGCCATATAGCCATGGATAGAGCTGTGGTACATATACTTCCATCCATCTACTTTTATTTTGCATCTATTTTAGTTTCCAACTATTTTCATTGTTATATAATTGTAGAATGGGCACGAATATTGTAGAGTACCAATAACATACATACTCTATGACAGAAATAATGACAAACAGGTAACAGAAAAAGAAAATAAAGTACCAAACTTATTAAATTTTACTCATGAACTATGTATTACAGATGCTGAAACAGAAATTAGGGTTAGTGGGTTGGCATTTTGATTACTAGCTTTGTCTTCTGTTTCTACTTTCAGCAAATGATAAGGCCTTTACATAACCTTGCCAATTATGTAAAATGGATAGCCACTAAGAGTTCTCAGTAAATGATATAACCTGTTCACTACCTTCTACACTGAAGGACAAAAAAGTTATATACAATAATTCCAGTGACAAACAAAGGGGTAGTAATAGAGGCAAAGAGAAGTAGTCAGATATGATACATTTGAAGGCAAAGCAAATGGAATTCTGAGGGATGGGATATAGGCTATGCGAAAAGGAATGAAAAATGACTAGAGATTTTTTTTGACTTGAGCCAGATAGATTTGGCATATGATATTTAAAAAGACCACTAAAGGAACAGGTCTGTGAAAATGTCTTAGAAATTTGAACATGCTAAATATTAGCTATATATTATATTTCTAATCAATGGTAAGAAGTGAGTCTCAAACCCACATAAGGAGTCTGGGCTGAAAATATAAATTTGGTGGTTCAGTGACAAATAACTGGTGTCAAAATCAATGAAACAGGATGAAAATATCAAGAAAAACAGTACTGATAAGGCAGAGAAAAAGATCAAGAACGAACTTCTCCG